TGTGCAAAGGCATCAGTAAATCACCACAAGCATAAGCAAGTTGGAAGCGTGAAAATATCAGCTCAAAAATTTCAGAATGGGTACTGATCTGAGCACCGATGACCACAGAAACAGAACATGTCAGCAAAAGATGCTTAAAAGCAGAAGACAGATATGATAACAGTGACACAGAAGGCATACCTTAGAAGTAAACCAAAGAAAGATTTTTAATCATGTAGAGTTTGTGTTAAGTGTGTTATATCACAAGACTACCCATAGGAAGAATCTGGACCTTATTTATCTGATTGAAGGCGACTGATTTTAAGTGTGACACATGTGAATTAAGTTGTATTTGAAGGAGCCACATTCCAAAGGAAACTCACAAGGCATAAGCCATTTTTATGAGCATAAACTGAAGTACTTGAATTTGCTAATCTATGATGAAATCATTTAGAATGTCATAGTGAGGAGCCTAAGGAAAAGTATTAACAATCCTGCATTTCTAGTCCATACAGAAATGCTAATTCCACTTATGAAAGTAAAGTACAGGCATGTTATTATGTTATTATGATTAAGACCTTACAAGTATAAAAATCTAGAGTACAACATTAATAATGTCATAGACATGTTTAGCATAAAATGCAAGCAATTTTGCTAAATTAGTTGTACATTCTAGGCTGCATCTGGATTTCATGCAAGCCTATTACCTTAGAAAGATAAACAGAAGAATAAACCTTTCACGCTTCTCAGGATATTCAGACATTAGCCAGTTTTTGTTTTTCCTGCAGAATTTATCCCTAGAGAGTGCCAGCATCTTCTAAAGCCTCTTTTAGAAAGGCAGTATGTTGCTTTAAAGTAGTAGTTAGGGTCATCTTACTTGGGTGGTGATGCCTGTTTCATATGGCTAACAGCCATACTTGCCTCACAAATAACCCAGGAAAGCATGTTCATTTTTCCCAGCACCCTTGGAAGGATATATATATAGCAGACTAAAGAAAAATAGGCCATATACATTTCAGGAATTCTTTTATTTGTATTCTTCTCTATATTTCTTAATCAAAGTAAGCACAGTTAATTTAGTTAATATTAGGGTAGTTATAACAGCCTGACCTTAAGGATGAGATACACTGTCCAATTTTATGGACTTTTAGATTTATTAGAAAGTGAGAGATTACAAAGGAGAGAAAGCCAGAAGGACTCTATGAGGTAGTGGAAAGGAAAAGTTCTCTTAGAGACCATACGGTTAAAAGAGAAATAGATAGATTTATTACGTTGTACGTGGTGAGGCAAGCCACATGAGTGGGCTTGGGTGTTTAATCAATCATTTCTCCCTTCTTATACATATCATTTTTAGACTATGCTCTCTGGGCCTCTTGTTGGGTTAAGCAGGTGTATTTAAAATGCTGTCTGGGTGTAAATACTGAATGTTATATTATAACTTATATAATACATTTCATGATTTTTTTAATTCAAGGGCTCTTGCAAGCTAGGCAGCACTCTACCACTGAGTTACATTTCTAGCCCAAACTTCAGGGTTTTGTATTTGTTCAGGAATGCAGTCTACTTGAATTAGACTGAATTGCTGAATATTCTAAATTATTTCTAAAATGTAGTCTTTATAGAAAAAAATTGTTTCACTTTAAACGCTTAGTTGATTATTTTAGTTTAACAGAAGTTGCCAAAAACAGGATTTTATTTAATGCAGATACCTTAAAAAAAAACTATAATTTTTAGTTTTTCTATACAAATGTACTTATAATTTTATCTTCTTAAGTGGGTTAAACATTACTTTGTGTCCCTTTCTAAGGGTGATTGTGGAGACAAACCCCAAATTGGATTGATTTACTACAAATTCCTTATACTCACTACATTTTTGTGAATTATTATATGTGCTCTGGAAGCGAGCATGACTTTTTTGTGAATTAAACTGTACCTCAGGATGTTAAACTTCTGTGATTTCTCATAGTACCACCCATCAGAGTTCTGCCAATAGCTTGAGATTGCTGGTGTACGTATTAGATGACAATCATGGAGAAGCACTTTTCACAAAAAGATATATTACCATCCCACCATACTTTATTGTCTTGGAAAAGCTTCTTCCTTTCTTCATACAAAGCACAGTCCACTGATATGAAGGGGTAAGTTCACTCATGCTGTGTCTAATCCTCCTCTCAGAGTACTCAGAGTCCCAGTGAACGCCATATAGTACACCTAGCACCATCACTGAAAATAGATGCTCCTAATAGGCCCAGTCCTTTGGGTCTTTCTTTTCTTCCTCTGGACATCAGAGAAGCATCATTCAACAAAAGAACATAGGGCATGCATAGTGTGTCTAAGACTTTGTCTCATCGAATCCCTCATTCCCGAGAGCCCAGAAGAAGCCTGACAGGAAGGGTCAAGTCTGGTGGTGCAGGGCAGGGAAAGACAGGTGTCTGTTTCCCTACAATCCTAATAGAGAGTTACGTTATTAGTGTACATCCCTTTTACACAGAGTTTTCCAATTCAACTAATCAGTTAATGTAGCCACCCACCCCCACCCAACTTTCTTTTTCCTTTTTTGAGACCAGGTCTTCCTGTGTAGTTCAGGTTGGCCTGGAACTCACTAAGCAGCCCTGGCTAGCCTTGAATTTGTAGTGATCCTCCCAAATCATTTACGGGGGTGTGCTACTGCACCCAGCTAGCTATTTTTTTTTTATCTTGTGCCAAAATGGGTTCAAAGTTTTCCACAGCCAAGTTGCAACTTAGTGGTAAAACTGCACTGACTTCTTAGCTACAGACTGCTTATAAGCTCTGGTAGAGGATAGTTTGACTTATATGAATGCGTAATACAAAGAAAGTTCATTGACTTTATAGACCTTGAATTTGTGACAATCAAATTCTGATATTTAAAAATTATTTTTAAAACAAAGTGCCTTCCTTTCTTTCCTCACATAATCTCCAAGAGTTCATCAGCCTTTTAAACTGATAAAAAGCTCCAGAGAAATCTTTTGAACATTCTCAAGAACAAGTGGCAACACACTAAGTGTTTCCATTTGGCTTGTATTCTGTTGGTATTTGATAGATTTATAAGGATTCCCAAACATCTTCCAGTTATTTATTGTTCAGTTATTTTGCAAATAACCTTCACCCTGTATTTGCGTAAATAAGAAGAGGTTGGCATAGCAGCTCTCTGTGTGTGTGTTTGTGTATGTATATATTCCAGCATTTATTTGTACAGGAGTGGAATACGTATGGCCAAAAAATAGTCTAGAACAGAGAATCAAGGAATGCAGCCTCCTCACCTAGAGTTTCTTACATCACTAAATGTAGAAGGGAATCACAAGAATGACTCAGAAACTCTTCAAGGCATTAGAGCCGGCTGCAAAATGTTTACACTTTCTATGCTATCCCAGAAGAAAATAGCTTCAACCCAAAGTTTGCTGGAATACAGAAGCTAACAGGAAATCAAGTGTGATTATTCTGAGGGTATGAGGCAGATTTGTTTGTTTGTTGGCACCAGATCAAACTATGGACTTTGCACTTGGGAGACAGGTAGCAGAACCACTGAGCTAAATCCCCGGCCCTAGATTTTCTTGATCAAAACTCGAAGGAGAGCCTCAGTTTCCCATCCTTCTGCTCCCTCCTTTGCCAACTTCTTCTGCCCTTCCTTTTTGCAGGAGAAGCTGGAAATATCTCTTGCCTGCAGATAGGTGCAAAAAGTTTCCCAAAGAGAGCAAAAGGAAATGACTATAATTCATTCTGAGGCATTTTATACTGTTAGATTTTAGCATGTGTGAATGCTTTAATTATTCCAGTAAATAAAATTTAAAAGGAGGAAAAGAAGGCCTGGGCTGGTCCAAACCACATCTTTTTCTTCCAGCATCAGTGACGTCTGAGAGTTTGAGGCTCTCACTTGAGTGATTAACAGTGTTGGCTGTTAAGGACCTCATCTCTGGCTTACATGTCCAAGTCGAAGGAGTGACAAATGATGTTAAACTGTCTGGCATTCTGTAGAGTGCTGTGCGTGCTTGGGTGTCTCCCTGAAAATGACAGGCCTTCTGCTATATAAATCTACTTCCTTGCATAAGGACGTTTTGAGAGGCGAGTGCCAGTGGAACTTGGGTAGCAACAGCAATTTGCCTTTTAAACAGCCATCCTAAATGCCTTTACTCCCGTGTGGGAGTGAGTGAGGGTTTCCTGGTGAGTGAGGTTGATTTAGGGATCAGGGATCAGCTGCTGAGGCTGGCACTTGGAAAAGACAAGCCAAGCATTCACACCCAGACCACTCAATAACAGCATTGTCTCCAATCCATCTTTCATAGGGGTTTCCAGGAGGGGGAGGGGATGAAGAAAGGAGAGAAAGTCAACCTTTTCGGTCCTAGAACAGGAAGTGCAGGGGAGAGAAGGGTGAACACCGCGTGATCCTGAGATGCCATTTACCTGGAACGTTTAGTGTGAAATCCACTTTGGCTTTTAATCTGAGTCCAGTATCAATTTTCTTCTGTTTTACATTCCTGGTCCCATCTTCCAGAACTCTGGTCCTGAGGGCCCCCCAGGCTCTCCCTCTATTTTACCTCCTCGGTTTGGGTTTGTCAAGGTCTGCCCCTCTCCTTCCCATCTCTTTTTCCTTTTCCCCTCCTCCTTTCCTCCCCCTCTACCTTCTTAAACAGCTTAAGTCCCTCTTCTCCCTTCTGTCTTGCACAGTACCTCTGAGCTCCACTCCCTGTTCTTAAGGAAATCAGCCAGGCCTCAGATGGAGCTGTTGTCCTGACAACCCACAGCCTCCTCAGGCTTCATTGAGGCTGGCTGCTGCTGAAGGGGCAGTTGTGCAGAGCAGAGCTGGGGGCCAAGCCGGGGGAGGGGGAGGGGATGACGTGGAGGGGCTGTTGGCCGCGGGCAGGGTAGGGGGGAGGTGCGGAGTAGAGTGTGAGCCCGGACTGGAGGCAGGAACAGGAAAGGGAGGAGGGGGAGAGACTCCGGGCTGCTTCTGGGGCTCCTGCGAGGCTGTTTCTTTACACTCACTGGCAGACTCGGGCCGGCTCCCTCCCGCCTGGGAAAGTGGGTTACCGGGAGTAGGCGCTCGGCTCCGGCGCTGGCAGAGGAGCATCCAGCCACAGAGAGACCAGGGAAGCACCGCAGCATTTGGCAGTCTTCTCTGCATCTTTTAAAGAGGGGTTTCTGTTCCTGCAGTCCTTTTACAAATTTTGTTCCTTCGACTTTCTCCCTCACCCCCGCCTGGGTTTTTAGGAAGGCTTTGTTAAGTGTTAGAGGGAAAAGAGACCGAGCGAGGGAAAGAGGCTAAGTGGGAAGGACCACAAACTGGAACACCGCGCCCGGGTTCCTAGAGCCCTCTCTCCGCGGAGCAGCGCGCCCTCCGGAGCCCAGCGCAGACAGACCTCGGCGTGGCCACCATGGTCGGGCGAGTGCAGCCGGATCGGAAACAGTTGCCCCTGGTCCTACTGAGATTGCTCTGCCTTCTCCCCACAGGACTGCCCGTTCGCAGCGTGGATTTTAACCGAGGCACGGACAACATCACCGTGAGGCAGGGGGACACGGCCATCCTCAGGTAGGGCTTTCGGGCAACTTTTCTTTCTCTTGTGTGTGTGTGTGTGTGTGTGTGTGTGTGTGTGCGCGCGCGCGCTCGCGTATGTGTGCATGTGTGTATTGTATATGTGAGCGCCTGATCTCCATGCTGCAGGCTTATGGTGTATGTGTGTCCCTTTCACTGAGTGGTGGACGTACAGCCAACAAAATTCAAGGGAATTCTGGTTCCTGTCAAGAGTCAGTGGTGCTGGTGAAATGTTTGATTCTTTGGATGTTGTTTCTCTGGTCATGGAAGCCTAACTTCATCTATGGCATTAAGTGGCATTTGGGCAGTGTTTTTGCTTTTGTAAAGATGCTTTGCACTTTAGAGTTTTGTTGAGATTCCTTAATTCAGAAAGAAGAGTTGCTAGATTATGGCTCACAAACAGTACATGTACTCTGCATTCTCCTTGCCCCTCCTGTGTGCGTGTGTGAGTGTGTGTGTGTGTGTGTGTGTCTGCACACACATCAAAGCTCTCTTTCTCACTGTCTTAGCAGTAGTTCTGATAGAAGACTTTTTGTAAAGATCTTGTAATTGATGCTGAGGGCAATAAATCAATCTTAGAACTTTGGTTGGTTGCTGAGCCTTTTCTGGAATGTGGCTAGAAATCAACACCCAGAATGGAGACAGGAAGAAAAGGATTTTGCCCAATTGGTGCCATTTAAGAATAGAAGTGTTAAACTCAGAGATTGGGAAAGAATTAACCTGGCATGAAATGAGTATTTCAAATTGATTATTAAATCCAGTCTTATTTCTGTGCGGCTCTGCCAAACTCTAAAATATAATTCCAGATTAAATTTTGGAAAGGGAAAGTTCCAAGTCCTTGGGAGTTTGACCCCTGCAAGGCACAGTGAGCCGGAGACTCAAATGGCATCTTATCATAATTCCATACCTAAGAAGCTCCACACTTCTTTTCCTGTGTTTCTCTTCCACCCTTGACTTCCCAGTTTTCCTTGAATTTCTGGTAGATAATAAGAAGAAGAAGAAAAAAGAAAAAAGCAATAAGAAAGAAAACACTGTCCTTGGAGATCTTTTAAAATCTCATTTCTTCCAAATAAAATGACCTGGTGTCGGTTTGTCTATCTAGCTAATATTGCTGGCAGTGGCAATAAAAAACAGTATGCAATAGAAAATAGACCTCTAATCTGTGTGCAAGGAGCTGATAGTGCATAAACCCTGGGGCATCAGGGAGCAGTTCTGTAGCAGAGCTGCCTACAGCAGCAAAGTTTTCTTTTCTTTTCTCAGAAATAAATTTGGTTGGCTGTCATGGAGTGTTCAGCTTTGGGATCTCTAGCCTTGTTAGAGAGGAAAGTGTGTGGTGTGGTGTGTGTCATGTGTATTGTGTCTGTGTTGTTCCAGATTGTAAAAAGTAAGAGGATGCTAATGTGTTAAGTGCTCCTCTTTTCATTTCCCGAGTATTGGGTGATTACGAATCCCAAAGATCCTACTATCCAAAGCAGATTTTCCCTTATAGCTCTCCAGCCTTGTAAACCTACACGTGTGAATTATCCACACGGAGTAATAAGATTTCTAGAGTAATTTATCTGTTTGCAAAGGGATTTGGATATAATGCAGAAAATGTTTTTGCAAACACGCATGCATGCCACCTCAACTGCTAACGTTCATGTTACTAACATCATTGACTCTTTACTTCAAAAGAACTCTACAGTGATTTGTGCTATCTCTAGAAATATTTTTTGAGATTATAAGGCTGAATGTAAAAGTGAATATTCCACATGTATAAGTTTTTTTTTTACCAAAATGTTTGTGAAGTTTTTAAACTCTAAGTCAGAATCAATTATGTCTTAAGTCACAGTAATCTAAAAATTAAATAAGCATATAAATATGCTTAATATATATATAGAACAAAGGTGTGCTTATGCTTTCACCTACTTGGATAGAAGTCTATGTCTAAGAGAGGGGGTTTGTATATGACACGAATGTGTAATTTGTATATAATAACAACATACTTCTGTATATATATATATGGCACAAAAGAAATGGAGATTTTACAGTATGATATGTTTGTAGACATTACAGTATAGAAAAGGACATGGTAACAAAAACAAATAAATAAATATAAAATGAGTTTTTCCCTGGGAAAGGGAAGACAAACAGAGCATATAAATAAGGCACCTATGTGAGTCCATAGCTTGCTGAGTCCTCACCTAACGTGCACTCTTTTTCTGTTTCCTCTTTCCTGAACAGGCTGTATTTTGGGGTTGGTAGAACTCTATCAGAGGGAACTATGGGGAGAGTTCCTTTTGTTTTCTTAGCTGACCTTTTTCTCAATCTCTTTAACTGAATCCAGTAAGCTTTGTGGGTCAGTTTCCTGGTGAAGAATGGCGCTCTTGCTTTCTGTTTACAAGCCTAGCCTGGGAAAGGCATGCTTCCACTTTATTTGTGACATTTGCTGGAAGTGTAGCCTTCAGGGGAGGAGAGGAAGGAGAACTTGATTCATTGGAAACCACAGTAGATGTTTGGCTCAGAGAAAGTGAAATGGCAAGGAGAGAAAAGTCCTCTCTCAATGAGTTTATGGCCCTGAATAATCTGAAATAGCAAGAGGAGACAATGGAGGTTTGTCCTTCTGGTGGTCCACGGACAGGGTTTGGTTAGCTTATCTCTAAAACACTTGCCATTTCTGCCTTACTTCCATGAAACAAGTGGGTTTTTTTAGGGAATTATGTTCATTTTTGTGTAATTGTGCTCTTTGGTATAACTGTGCTTCATGATAGGAAAGTGTACTTTAGGCTTGCTTGTCAATTTCTATGTTTGAAAAAGAATAAAGACAACAGAAGTATGGTGACAAAACTTAAGGGAAAGAGAGAGAGCCTGATGTATGCATAGCTAATGTTATTTCTCAGAGAAGAATTTAGATCTTATTAAGAATTGTATAAAAAGCTATTGAAAACCACAGCACCCACTTCTTTTCCAAGGATGAAGAATCAAAGTGTGATCAACAACCCACAACTGTAGCATAGTCCTAAGTGCTCCTATCTGGCTCCTTCCTAGGTAGAAGGAATCAGGACCTCTGCATTTACATTTGTATATACAGGAAAGTATGCACTGAGTTTATCCATAGGACTTTAATCAAGGTACAACCTTGGGTGTTTTTTCAATAGCACACAACCATCTCACAGTCACGCCCACTGGAACAGCCTTTCACTACTTACTGGACACATTTCTAGCACTGGTTCTTTTCACCCTTTAGATCTGCATGCTAACACCAGTGAGATTTTCCTCCTGCTTAATCTTGAAGGATTAAGACCAAGTGGTTTTCTTGATTAGTCAAAGATAAATGGAAATAGGTAGTATTCCAAACCAAACTTTAAAATTTAATTTTTAATGGTCTCTCTGACCATTTTGAATATCAGTAGCATATAGAAGGGTATTATAAAATACTTTTCACTCAAAGAAGCATGCTGTTTACATAATGCAGTACATTATCATAAATCTATTCTTAAAGTTACTTTGTACATATTACATATGCATGTATATCTGAGATTTATAAGTGTATATTTGATAAAATGCAAAAGCTTCATAATATTCCAATTCTACATATTCTAAATTAAAAATATTAAAATATTATTTGGTATATAGTTCTGATGTTTATAGGGAAATCATAATACTTTATGATGATAAGATTTTTAATGTTTTTTGCTTTTAATTTCCACTAGAACATGTTTGGAATATGTAATGTCTCCATTCATCTTGAAGAGTTGATACATGCACATCTATAAACACACCTAATAAGTATCAGAAATTTCCTAAGGGAAAAGAAAAAAAATGTGAAAAAGAAAAAAATGGAAACAAAGTCTTTGTAAATAGGAAAGGGTGTGGGGTGAAGGGAGGGCAGGGGGATGGGGAAAAATAAGAACTAAGATATATCATGTAAAGGTACAAGATCCCAATGATAAAAGTAAGTGTATTGTTTGCTTTAAATGTACCAATAAACTAAACAGGAATTTTTTAAAAAAAAAGAGATACAGAAAAAAAAGCAAAGGTACAAGATCCCAATGATGAATGTAACTGTACTGTATACCTAAAATGTACCAATAAACTAAACAGGAATTTTTTTAAAAAAAAGAGATACAGAAAAAAAAGCAAAGGTACAAGATCCCAATGATGAATGTAACTGTACTGTATACCTAAAATGTACCAATAAACTCAATGAGGAAATAAAGAGAAATTAAGTATCTAAGTGAAAGATCATTTCTAGTTTTTTCAAATTTTCAATCTTCCCTATTTATTTCTAAACTAAAGGAGTAAAGAGAAGAAATAACAAAAGAAGTATGTGATTATTTGAAAATAATGTAAAATTTCTATACAAATTTCAAGGGGAAAGAATAGTTTCTTTTCTATAAGGCATCTGGAACACCTACATTTACTGAGAAAGTATCAACACTCAAACAAACTCCTGTCATAATATGTGATTTCCTACTCCTTATAACTTATTATATGAAAACAAACTTTTTGTGCCTACAGAAGGAATTTGTGACAGTTATGAGGATTTATTTATTTGGTAGCTAAACCACTAAAGGTAATCTAAATGTACTGGTTATTACTGATACTTTAAGGATCATCCATTGCCCGTAATATCCTTTATTTAGTGTGTCATAAATAATGGAGCATAACATCCTGTGTTTCATATAGATATATGTCATTTTATATACATTTTACTAAAGAATGTTTATGGATCTGTGAATGATAGCCTTTGTTGGCATTTCTGGCCTAAGCAACATAGTGGGCAAATGTCATAAGACAAATACAAATTGTGATTATGTTTCTGTCAGTGTGGAAGACATAAGCATAAATACATAAACACAGTATATAGGAAAGGCGATTTTCGTATGTAGCTTGACTTCAAAAGAATTATTTGTAGAATTGTGGAGGCAATGGCGATGACTCATCCACTAAGTCATTTGGTGAATGGTAGGCATTTGTATTTCTCAGAGCTGATTCCACATAAGTGCAAACTCAGG